ACCCTGCCTCAAAAAAAAAGAAAAAGAAAGCAGCTGTATATCTATCCTATTTTGAATATACAGATACAAAATGGTCCTTCATTTAAAAACAAGAGACAAGACAAAAAAGTCATAGGACTGTCCTGCTACAATGCTGTATATGGTTACATTTCTAAATTTCTGTGTAAAAATATGTAACTATTTATTCCTATTTTTCTAAATTCTTTTTTTTCTTCATATTCTATAGGGACTTAAACTTTAACATATCAATACTTAATAGAAAATACCTGTTCCATGTTATTTTTTTCTTTTAAGTAAAATTTTATTTGTGACTACTTGTTCATTTTAAGCTACTTTTCCTCAATTTGAGAAGCAGAGTCTTGTCCAAAAGTAAACTCTTCTTAGAATCACTTACCAGTTTGTCTCCCAATTCTGAATCTCATCCTCTTTTAAATACATTCACTTAGGATTTAAGTCTTCTGGTACAAAGTGACTAGAAAGCAGGGTGTGACATCAGTGACCTTCAGAATATTCATTTTCCCCATGTGTAGCAAAGTACGCTGTATCACATCAAAAAGCCTCCTTACATGAACTCAATTATATTTCTGGGAAGTAAGTTTTTTGGCTAAAATATCCTGAAAGGTGATCTGAGGTCATGTTGTTGTTTCCAGCTATCAATGGAAGAATGTTTGGAAACTTACAAGGCCTCACAATGCATGTAGGGGACAAGGTCAACTGGTATCTGTTAGGCATGGGCAATGAAGTGGACCTGCATTCTGTGCATTTTCATGGCCACAGCTTCCAATACAAGGTAAGAGCTAGCCATGGCAGTCATTCTTGCTGTAGTTCTATGTGTTTTAATATGAAGAAAATATTTCCTCAGATATACTTATGAAAAATTGAAAGCTTCAAAGATTAGAGGGCCCGGAAATTTCAACTGACATTCCAGCCTTGCTATACCGTGGGTTTTTCGGATTTGCATTCTTTACAGGCTTTTAGTGGAGCTCTGCTCATACATTCCAAGTAAGGCATTTGAGTGGAACTGCTAACAGGGAGGGAAGGAGTATCCATGTCATGATGAACCAGACAGCACAGCTCAGGACAAGACTTTAGCGTAACTTCTGCCCCGCCTGTTTTAGGATGGGTATCTTAAGTGGCCTGAGGCAAACGAGATCATCAGTTAGGTGTCAAGAAACTGACCTCCTGGATCTCAATTCTGCTCCAATTCCTGACCCTGTGCCGATTTCAGCAGGAACCAATGGTTCTTTCAGAAATGCTTTCTTGAGTTAATGTAGAAAATGAAGCTACCTAAAAAGCACACTGCAGAAGTTCATTTTATAATGTGCATTTTGTTCTACAGTGGTGTAGTATGTTCTTAGAGGACTTTCAATTTCATGCCTGTGGAAGTCCATCCAGCACCTGCCTCTAGCTAGCTAAGACTCTGCCTAAACTCCCCTTGTGCCAGCCTCTCACCACAGGCCTCATTTGCTGCTCCCTTCGTTCTCTCTACCTATAGTTTCACAGACAAGATAGTGTAGGACCTGCAAAGGTGAGGTGCAGCTAAAGGGAGCCCCAGATTAGTTCCTCCATGCAGCTCAAGTGCTCTGGCAAAGAGGCAAACCAGTCACAGTGCAGAAGGCCATGAGTAGTCCAGACTACAAACTCATTCATCACACCCTCCATCCTTTATGACCACTAGGTGACAGTCACAGTACTGAAGCCTTAGGTGAAAATCAAGGACCAGGATCACATATGTTTGCATTAAACAGGAATGTGCAGACTCATTAAAATGCACTCATTTAAAAAAAAAAAAAAAAGACCAATTTTTCTAATAACCCTGAGCTGGTAAGTCAAAGAAGGATTATTTGGATGAATTTTTATCAATATTTTATCTGTCATTTTTCTAATTTAAGCACGGGGGCATTTATCGTTCTGATGTCTTTGACGTTTTCCCTGGAACATTCCAAACCCTTGAAATGTTGCCAACAACACCTGGAATTTGGTTACTCCACTGCCACGTGACTGACCACATTCATGCTGGGATGGAAACCACCTACACTGTTCTGCCAAGTGAAGGTGAATATACAGTTTGTGATTCTAGGACTCATGTATTATGAATATAACTCAGAAGCCATGCTGCCTAAGTATCTTTCCCAACATGAAACATCTGTGGATCTGTTGTACTTTCTTCCTTCTACCTCCAATAAGACTTTTTTTATTCAACAGCACTTCCTAAGAGCTGGTACTCAGAAGAGAATCAGCAGGGTTTTGTTTTTGGCAGAACTGGGGATTGAACCCAGGCCCCTGCGCTTGCCAGAGAAGCACTTATTCCACTGAGCCATCTCCCCAGCCCCATAGAACCAGTAGTCTTTAAGCTAATACAGACAGCACTTTGATGCAGTGTAACCATAACTTCTTGATATGAAAAGTACTCATATTATTTACTGAGCAACAAACTACAACTTCAAACGTATGTTTACAATTTGTTTGCCTTGTTAACAGAAAACATTCATTTTTTTGTGGGCAGCAGCTCATTTGTAATAGAAGCCAAGGTCAACCTCAAACATCCATATCATCTCAAACCAATATAAATCTTGACAGTCAGGCAGAGTAGCATCTTTCTATGGTTTCAGGGAAAAAGGAAGACATTATTGATTACTGTTTGGGATACATCCAATGAAAAATAAACTTCAATTCCCTGGTCCCCAATTTCTGCAACAGTCCCCCAGAAGAACATGTACACAAACACACATACATGTATACACATACACACACATATATGTACTCTACAAAATACAGGAAAATGAAGAGCTTCTTTATGGATCACATATAAAGAATGAAATAGTGAAATTCCTGTCTTATAGATGTAGGTTTTGGTCTTCCCCAAGTTTCTGAGTTCAGAAATGTTGGAAAGGAAATGGCCAATCCAACACGAAAGTTACATACAGAAAACAGCTGTTTCTTTATCAAAATGAGGAAATGTATAAATGGAATACCCAAATGAATATATTTCAAGATTTTAAAAAATCTCTCAAAGATAGATTCTTAGAGCAAATGAAGTGCAATTTCTGCTTCTGGATCTTACAAGTCTTTTATCATGAAAATTACCTCCATTAAAGCCCTCTGTATTACAAAGAGAGGTTTCTAAGTCAAAAGAGGCAAATCGTGAAGTTTAACATGTTCCCACCAGTGCTACATATGTTACTGCTGGATGGCTTGCACTATATGATACAATTGTCCTGTGCTACCTGATAGAACAGTAATGTATGTACCACTAGTGCTTCAGAGCTTCCTACCAGCAGCATGATATATGAATTATGGCCCCACTGTGAATGTCATAAAGCCAGGAACTTGATTAATGTGAAGAATCAAAACGCTGAGAATAAAAACTACAAATAGTCTTTGAAGGACACTAGCTTACAGGTAAACCATACTGCAGCATGCTCAGAGGCAGCAGAGAGGCACTTGGGAAACTCACATGTACAGATGCTTGGCATGCAGAGGATGACGCCACAGGTGAAGCCCACACACAGGCACTGAAGGCTTGTACTGTGTACACAGCTGGAGGAGGAGAGGGAGACGACTGCTGCGTTGAGAGAATACTTTAAAGATACACAGAAAAAGTATAGCACAAACAGCAAATGTGAAGGAAAACACCCATTAGGAAAAATTACCTATAATCCTGGCACTCTGGGAAATGGAAGCAGAAGAACTATAAATTTAAGCCCAGCCAGGGCAGCTTAGCAAGACCCTGTCTCAAAAGTTTTAAGAGTGGGGAATATAGCTCAATAAGAAGGCTGGGGGGTCAACTGTCAGTACAAATCAATAAATAATAAAGAAAATTTAAGAGAAATTTCTTACCAAGAGGAAAGCTATTATTCAGGGCTGTAATACACAGTAATGGACAGAAAGATAGTTGTACCTAGGCACAAAAAAAACGGGGAGCCAAGTGAATCGGTCTGAATTAGTTATGTCAAAGGTGGATAAAGCTTTGAGAAAATCTACATTAACTCTGACTCCCAGAAAAATGCCTGCCATTCATGACACAGACAAAAGAGCACAAGAAAAAAAGAAATCTTGTGATATTATCAGCCAGGCTGTAGCTGCCTCCAGGAGGAAAACAAAAGACAACTTAAAAACAGAAAAGAACGGTAGCTATCTTCTAACACTTAATGTAATGGTTCATTCCCCTCTACATATATAAAACCAAGAACAGAAAACTGACTTTGGGGCCGGGGAGATGGCTCAGTAGAATAAGCGCTTGCCTGGCAAGTGCAAGGGCCTGAGTTCAACCATCCCCCTACCCCCGTTCCGGGGGGGGGGGGAACAACTACAAATGTTAGGCTGGCCAAATAGTTCGGGCGGACTAAAGCCCCCAGGGTGCACTGAGACTAGGTGTGGAAGCATGCTTGGGAGGCTGAAAACAGGAGGATCACTACGAGTCTCATCTGTGTAGTTAGACCCTGTAGACCCTGCCCTAAATACATTAAAAAAAAAAAAAAAATTCTGATTTCACCAATCATCCTTGAGAAGAAAAAAAGGTGCTATAGAAAAAATGAAATTGCAGAGCATGCCTTATTATAGGCATATCTCTTAATCTCCCTCACTCTGGAACAGTTCCTGTTTGTTTTGCTGTAACCAGGGCTGAACCCTGGGCCTTCTCACTGAGCTTATCTCCAGCTTTTATTTTTTTGTGACAGAGTCTTGCTAAGTTGTCCTGGCAGGGCGTCAACTTGCTGTCCTCCTGCCTCACACTCCTGGAGGGCCAGGGTTACTGGGGTGCGCCACAATGCCTGGCAGTACCTTGTCTTGTCTTTCACACATATGAAGAATGCAGGGCAGTCAATTCATGGAAGGTCCTTCAATCTGAGTTTTTTCTAAAGTTTCCTCATGATTAGGCTCAGGATACATGTTTTTGGCAAGACTATCACAGAAGTGATCTATTTTTCTCAAGTGTCCTATGCAAGGAGGCACAAGAGAATGATTTTTTTCCAATAATGATTAAGCCTGAGCTTTTGCAACAGTGGTAGATGGCAGGCTCATCCACTGTAAATTTACTCTTTATGCCTTTATAATTAATATGAACCTTGGATGGAAATAATTTTTCTCTAATTAAAGATTAGAATAAAAAATTTTTAAACATATAAAAAATAGAAAAATATAAACAAATTAAGAATGATTAAACAAAATAACACTTGAAAATCAGAATACATTTAATGCACAATTTACTAACCCTTTAAACCATATAAAATATAGTACTTTAAATAATGGTCTTAAAATTTCTTTTTCTATAGAGACCAAGTCTGGATGAAAGAAAGAAATTGGTGATAAGTGGGAAAAAAGATAAAACAATGTGTGAGCATTGAATGGAACGTTTACTTTGGAATGGCTAGAAACGTTAAAAAGAAAAGACTGGAAATAGCTCTGTGCATTTGCAGGGGATGCTGTTACTTTTGAAGACGGAAATATATCACTGCTATGTAATAGGTAACACAACTGAGTTACACAGGCCACTCATCCTACCGTGATTAGGGACACTAGCAAAAAGCATTCAAAAAAAATCTATGACAAGATGTCCTGATGGTCTTCAAAGGGTCATACTGAGATTTATTAAATGTCGCCAACCATCACCTTCCCATCAGTCCCTCTAACATCCTATGGACACACCTAACAAACCCATGGGCAGGGGCATGAAATTAAAAGCAAAAGAAAAATATGCCACTCCGAGTTTTGAACACTTGAAAACATGGTAAAAAGGACTGCATCTGGAACTGGAGAAAGGCACAGATGAGAAACAATGCTTTTATATTATATTGTAGTAAAAAAAAAAATTAAGATAATAAAATAATAATTTAAGAATTTGCTACTGGGGGGCCAGTGAGATAGCTCAGTGTAGTAAGTGCCTGCCTGGCAAGTGCAAGGTCCTGAGTTCAATCCCTGGTACCACCAAAAAGGAATTTGCTATCAGAAGAAAGACCAAAATAACAAAAGACCTGTTGTGTCAGACACCAGGTAATTATAAGTTTTCCCCAGTTTTAACTGTATTCAACAGACATTTCACTGAGTGGAACTTGGACTCAAAGCTGTTCAACAAGAAGTTGAAAAGACATTGTGAATATCACGATATAGTTCTTTATTTTCACATATACTCTAGTTGAAAGACCAAGAGTACATATCAGCAAAAACTGGCAACAAGGTTATGGGTGAAAGAAAATATGCATTCAACAAATCAGATTAAAAGCCAAGATACAACCAGCTTTGTAAACTTTCGCTTCTTTGCATTCAGTGAAAGACAGTATTAGTTTTTAAAGTAACAAGAAAATAATGCTTATATCTTTTACCATAGCAAAACATTTACATCCTTCTCACAGAGAATCATTTAAAAAGAAAAGTAACCTGGTAGAGAAATCTGGAAAAATCAAGAAGATAAAATTCTGGATACTTGGAGAAGTTCCCTAATAGTGTTCCTAGGATGAAAATGATGGTTATGTCCTCAACAATGGAGTTGATGGTGTTCCTTGGAATAGAAGTCAGGATCTGCCTTTAAAAACACAGTGGTTCTTTGAGGAAGTCTTCCACCTTGAGGTTTTTTTTTTACACATTCTATATAATTAAGTGGATTCAGGCTCCAATTATGAAATCAAGAGTTGCCACTACTTGGGGTAAGATGAGCATCTTGAAATCATATGTTTAAGAAAAAAAAAATCACTGGCTTTTTTTTACCTGGCACTGAGTTTTTTAAAATTCAGTTTCATATGCTATTGTGAGGTTTTTCAAATTGCACCGTCATGCCAATGACTTCTTTCGACTACAGTAAAGAAGATAAGGCAAGAAAAATGCCGCAGTGCCATCTTCTGGGAGGACACTCAAGAAATCTCTTAATTCTAGGTCCACAGCAACAATTGACAGTGTTTCTGTTTATGGGAAAGAAAACTTGGGTTAGAATTAAAAATCTTTCTTACAAATTTTCATTTTAGTTCATCAATTAAAAGCTAATTCAGACAATAAAGTGTTAGAACTAAGAAAAAACAGCCTCTTCAATCCACAGATTACCATTTTAATAGCTTAATGTATCTTTTCTATAATCGTGTAACATTTATTGTATTGTACTGGAGTTACCATTTCACTGCTAGATTGCTACATTCTCTCAAAATTATATACCCATCTGCATACTATTTTAGTGGCAGGATTACACTGAAGCTAATATACTGACTGTTCACTAGGTCAGGAAGAACCATTAGCTGTTAGATAACTGGTTCCACTTGTTATGAAATTTTCATGTTATTAATAAGGACAAATCTAGTTTCAGGACTATTACCTTTTCTTCTAAACTGCAAAAGTGGTCTAATAAATATTTTTAATATTAAGGAATTTTTCTAATATTTTTGTAAAAATGATTATATTATTATTACTCCTTAAGAGATACATGCTTTCCCAGGAAGAGAAGGGTGACACCTGAGAACATTCTCAGTGAGCATGCACTTGGACTTACAACTCCATCCTTACTTTATTCCCTGTATGATCCTTGTGTCCTCACCCCTTATCTATTTGCTGAGTTCCTGCAATATAAATTCTATCCTGAGTCATGTCCAACATGCAGTGGTCTAAATTACCCTTTACACAAAGGAATGACCATCCTGTTATAAAGGTCATGAAGACAGAAGCAATGATTATTAACAAGATCTCTTGCTCTGGCATAAGACCGACATGGGAAGGGATCCAGACAACACAACACACTAGCTGAGTAAGATTAAGAAAATCATTTCAGCCAGGCTTGGTGGTACATTCAGGAGGATGAGACAGGAGAGTAACTGTGAGTTCAGGGTCAGCCTAGGCTACATAGTAAGTTCAAGCCCATCCTGAACTACACAGTAAGACCCTGTCTCAAAAACACCAAAAAAGGGCTGGCCAAATAGCTCAGCAAATTAAAGCACTTACAAGCAGGCACAAGGGCCTGCTTGCTCCCCCCCTCCCCCCAGGGCACCCTGAGATGGCACTTGAGACCAACGAAGGCTGGGCATGGTGGTGCATGCCTATAATCCCAGGAGGCTGAGGCAGTAGGATCATTGCAAGGTCAAGACCAGCCTGACTTACTAAGTGAGCTCAAGGCCAGCCTGAACTGCATAATGAGACCCTGACTCTGTCTCAAAAAGACCAAAATTAAATAAAAAGATATACAGATTGGTAAACGAGGGCTGGGGATAGAGCTCAGTAGCACAGCACCTGCCTGGCAAGTGTGAGGTTATGAGTTTCCCAGTACCAAAAAAAAAAGGCTGTAAATGACTAAGAATTATAAAAATTCAAGAAACTACCTATGCTGTTAAAAGAAAATCTACAGTATAAAGACTTTAAGCTTTTAAAAATTCTTAAGGTATCATTTTTTAATATCTACAAATATGCTTAATACTCATAATCTTTTGTTTTGTGTTTTGGGAAGCACTTATTCTACTGAGCCATCTCCCTGGCCCAAGATAATGAGTATTAAGCAAGGGCTTAAGCTCCTGCCTGGCAAGTGCAAGGGCCTGAGTTCAATCCCTGGTTCCGCAAAAAAACAAACAAGCAAATAAATCAAAAAAACCCTCAATCTTAATAAATTCCTACATGAAGTACATTAAACACTGAGATTGTTAATAAAAGATAATTATCACAAAGGCTTATAAATGTTTAAAATATTGCAGCTGTGAGTTCCTACATCTGTGATAATTTGTTTGATGAGATTACTTTAAGTGTCAGCTCTGTGACCAAAAAAGATGAAATAATTTTCCAAGCTAGAAATCACAAGCTCTCCAGGTGATCCCGTAAGCCCTCCTCATTCCATTTGACAATCACAGGAAAAAATGAGAGAAAGCAAGGTTCCAGCAAGCTCAGAATTCAGACATACATTTATAAAATCATTTTACCTTTTAATGATGACAAGTAAAGCTGATATTTCTCTCCACCACACTTAATTCTCTGACAAAGTTCAGGTAGAAGTTTTTTCCACCATAGAGTCTGTCTTAGGAAAAAATAAATTAATTTTAGTTTGATGGACTTTATACTTCATTATAACAGAAGCAATGTTAGCAGCCAGGCATCTGCTTAAGGTGAAATAAAAGTTTGCAACTTGAAATACACATACATACATGGCGATTTTGAAGAAGAATGTCCTCCTATCATGTGTTAATGGCAAGCAAGAAAGAAAAAGTACTGCAGCATGTTTTTTTTTGTTGTTGTTTTTGTGTCCAGCTCAGTCCACCCTGGGGGCAGGGCTGGTGCAGCATGTGTTGTCTGTGATCAAACTGTGGTCCCTGTACTTGCCTAAGCTTGCCTAAGCAGGTGCATTAGACTGCTCAGTGAGCTACTTTGCCACGACAGGACTGCAGCTTAAAATCTGCTAATTCCTAAACTAAAATCTAAATTACACCAAAAATAATATATTATGTATTTTTGTCTTTAAGACAGGGTTTCATTATACAGTTCAGGCTGGCCTTGCACTCTCTTTGTACCCCAGGCTGGCCTCAAACTCAAAGCAATCCTCCCCCCGCAGTTTCCCAAGAGCTAGGATTACAGGCATGTACCACCATGCCTGGTCAATATGCTTCCCAAATCTTCAGATTATCACCTTTGTGACAGTAAAAGTGGACTATCAGCTTGAAAGGTTTGGGACCCTCCCAAAGAGCAATAAAGGATGTTTGTAGCTTTTCTAGTCAAGGTGGGGCCCAAAGGTGTGACCTTGACAGAGACAGGGTCTCTGTCTTTCCTCTCGGGTACTGCCCCTACTCTGGTTCCTAGCCATCAAAAACTAAGCAGCTTTATTTCTCCCCAGCCACCCGCACCCCCACCACAACTACCATGGTGTTACTGCTTGGGCTAGCCAACCGGACCACATCCCTGGAAACCATGAGCCAAAATAAACCTTTCCTCTTAATTTGTGGCTGTGAGGTCTTGTGCCCCAGCCACAGGGAAGCTAACTAATACAGGAAGCTTGTACTTCAGGGATGGGTTTATTGCCTAACTATACATACTATGTTGTTCAGAATCTTTTAGAACTGGTTTGCAGAACAGTTCAAGAAAGTGAGCTAAAGAAAGCTTAAAATGCTGTCAGCACAGTCTGATGGGCAATTCTAGTCTTAGCTTAGAGGAACAATCTGTAGAGGCCAAGAGTTTTCAGTATCAAACAAGGATTTTGAATAATCAGACTAGAGACCATGTGTGTTACATTCTTTTTTTTTTTTTTAATTTTATTTATTTATTTGTGTGTGTGGCCAGCTCAGCCCACCAGGGGGCGGGGCTGGCATGTGGTGCTGGGGGATTGAACCGTGGTCCCTTGTGCTTTGCTAAGCTTGTTCTAAGTAGGTGCTTTAGACCACTGAGCCATCTCACCAGCCCCAATGTGTGTTACATTCTGACAAACATTTGTTGCTAGTTCACCTGTGCCTGAGACTTTGTGGGAGGCTGACAGTAAAGGCAGTAACTGACGGAGGAGAAGAGACCTCAGGTCAGCTAATGAGTAGGCTGTCCCACGGGCACTGCCGACTGCTTTTAGACAGAATCAGAGGCAAAAACCAGGTCCGAAAAATTTGAAAATCTTAAATTCTGGCTCAAAAGGAAGCATGTGTAAGTAAAGTTGGGGTTAAAATGGACTGGTAGTTGCTAAAGACATTAGTACCATTCAAAAAAATACACTAAGTACTTTCCATAGGGACAAGAAGATAGATGCCTTGAGGGCACCTCAGAATTTGTAGATTTAGGGTACAGAAGTGTCAATTTTCGTTTGAGAAGAATCCCTGCTCAAGAGAAACCTCCCAGGGAACTGGCTCCCCACAATTCATTTCAGTGCTCAGACATCCAGGCACACAGAGGCTGCCCTGCTGTGCTCTAAGGGAACTGGGTACTGCTCCTGCTTTGAGCAGACCTCTGTGTCATCATCTCATGATGCTAGTTTTGCTGGGGTACACAAGGCCAGAGCTGTTGGGGCTGGTGAGATGGCTCAGTGGTCTAAAGCATCTATTTAGAACAAGCTTAGCAAAGCACAGGGACCGCGGTTCAATACCCCAGCACCACATGCCAGCCAGCCCCGCCCCCTGGTGGGCTAAGCTGGACACACACACACACACACACACACACACACACACAAATAAATAAATAAAAATTTAAAAAAACAAACAACAACAACAACAACAAAAAACAAAGCCAGAGCTGTGGGTCACGGAGACTTCCACCCAGATTCCAAAGAAAGGCCTGGGGGGTGAGGCATGGATCTTTGAGGGATGAAGCATGACGCTCTCTGAGTAAAACTGAAGGTACAGTAGAAACCCTAGGAATTGGGGCCAGCCAAATAGCGCAGCAGATTAAAAGCATCTGCAAGCAGGCGCAGGGGCCAAGGGTTTGATCCCTGGGCCTGCCACGCCGGTCCCGCCCCCGGGGCGCACTGAGATGGCAATTGAGACTAGGTGTGATGACGCGTGCCTGTAATCCCAGCTCTTGGGAGGCTATAAACAGGCGGATCACTACGATTCTGATCTACACAGTGAGACCCAATCTATGCAGTGAGATCCTGTACACCTTTCCCTAAAATATAGAAAAAAAAAAGAAAAGAAACCCTAGGAATCAGAAATGCAGTAATGGGAAAGCTAACACAATCTCCAAACAGTGTTCTTTCAAAGATGGTAGCATGTCTTTACTGTGCATTTCAACAGCATCAACTATACTCAAAACAGGTAATATTAAGCATATGCTCAATGGATCTACACACAGTTATATAAAGTTGGGCTGGCATAAATTGTCTTCATTAAACAAAGTAACATGACTATCAAATCTGATGGTCACTGAATGCATCTAAAAGCACAATCCCAAAGCATACCCGGCTCTCTTCCTTCAGCTCGTGGCTAGCGTATGGAATGACGGCCTCTGGGCACCGCTCCAGCAGTGTGTCTATGCACTGCTCATACTCCTTCAAGCGGGTCCGGCACAGGACGTGGACACTGAGGCCAGCGGCGGTGTCCTCCGAGAGCGGCTCCAGGAAGGGAACGATGGAAGCTATGTCAGATGAAGGCCCGCATATGAGAGACTAGGAATAGCAAAGTGACAGGTCAGAGCGTGAGGCATCTGAAAACCTAAAGCACAGGTATACAGCAGAGATTTTTAAATGAAAAGATACCCGTCTTCACTTGAAGAAAAAACTACAATTTTAGAATACCCATATGACTTTTTTCAGTAAATATAAGAGAACTGTATGTAGTATTAGATAATCTTAAATCTGCCTCTAGTTTAAAGAAATAAAGATCAGTTTAATAGAAGCAATCATTTAAAAATATTTCATTTACTCTGGATAGACTAATAATTATACTGGGGAGATAGCTCAGTAGAGGGCCTGAGTTCAATCCTCGGTTCCGCAAAACAAATAAGCGAATTAAGTTTTTAAAAAGACAAAATTAAAACTAACAGTTCTTTTGAGTCCTATCGTAAAAACATAATATGTGATAGTCAAAGATTTATTTCCAATGTTCAGCATAAGAATGTTAATATTGAAAAATCAGAAGTAGTTTAAATGTTCAAATAAGGATGACAAATAAATTATAGTTCATTGATATTCTGGGACATAATAGTCATCAAAATTATGTTTTCAGGGCTGAGGAGATAGCTCAGTAGAATAAGCTCTTGCCTGGCAAGCACAAGGTCCTGAGTTTAATCCCCAGTACAGCAAAAAAAATAAAAATAAAAATAAAAATTATGTTTTCAAAGGCTAAAGGAAAATGTGATAAAATGATGAGTAAAATATTGTAATACAAAGTTATGTTCAGAATGTGATCACTGTAATAAAAAGTATACACATACAGAAATGCCTGGAAGAGGACTGCCTTTGAAACAGATTAGTTCAATGAATGGCAGGACAAAGTCATTTCTGACTTTCTTTTCATACTTTTCTATATTTTTCAAATTTTCTATGGGCATACTATATATATATATATATATATATCATATATTATATGATATGTATATATAAAATAAAAAATACTAACACTGTTGTTTAGAACCCGATCACTTACACCAATTCTTTTACCTCAAGCTGAATGACAAGAAGCAGCTATTATTCCAGTATTTAGGGCTCCACTAGTATTTTACTTTTAATCAATTTTACTAGTATTTTAATTTGCATATAGTAGTACTGATTCTATGAAAAAATAATCACCTGCCCTTTGACCTGCAGGACAGATGTGACAGTCTGGTTTCTTCTTCCTTTCTCTTTTTCACTGCAGCATGTCCTCAGCTTTACAGGAGGCCATGGAACATCAACTACTCAATCACACTCAGCATGATTATTTTATTCCAGAATACCAAAGAATAAGGAGGAGAGCAAGGTTGGTATCTATGCTTTCAGCAAGTGTAATAAATTATCATCTGAATAACTTCCTGACAGTAAAGTGACAAAAATGAAAGAAAATGGTAATCTCTCACCCACAGGATCTCTAACAAGGAAGGAAACAGATTATGCCTCTATCTCCCCTTGATCCACTGGAATAACAGGTGGGGTAGGAAGAAGGAAGGCAGGGCACCAAACCCAGCAAAAAAAGGAAATTAATCCATAGATGGTACAAAAAAGAAAATATAAGAGCATTTACTTAGCTTTCTCCATATAATTAAGAAGTTCAAGACCAATGTACAATGCTAAGAAACACTACACAGCATGGATTTCACTAGATGAGGAGTGGACCAAAGGTGACTGCTATTCTTTAAAGTGCTGTTAACGTAGCCTGCTCCTCAGAGTACTCCACTGTCTTTCAACATTGGAAATGGACTCCTCTCCAAAGCCAGCGGCGTACTATTTACTTCCTTCTGTCATCAAGATCCCTCCCACCCTCAGCCCTGACTGTGGGGCTGGAGTCCACATATTTGTCTTCTCTTCCAGAAGACTGTAACTGTGTTTTTAAGGAAAGATGGCTGGCAAGGACACAGAAGGGGTAAGAGCCATGATAGTCTCAGCAAGAGCAGGACATTTACTGTATCCCCCCAAATAGCAGCTGTTGGACATAAAATAGATCTTAATTATACCACCGATATACTCTTAAAATGACTAAGGACAATAGACAAAGTTGTATCAAATTTGTAAGAAGGGGAGGAGAGGACAGTCACACAATTTTGGAAAAGCTCTCCAAGTGATTCTCAATGTTCCCATTCTTCTAGGTGAGAACCAGTGCAAGCTTGTTTTCTGATATTTTCTTAATGATGAAGACTAATTAACAGAGATAATATAGAAAAAGCTGTAATTAGAAAAGTAATTTAGCAAGTTTACTTTAACATTTCTATCCTTTTTATTTCTTTTGGTACTGGAGTCTAGGGTCTCTGTAATCCTCCTGCCTCGCCTCCTACAGTGCTAAGACTATGGGTATGTATGCTGTCATATCCAGCAACACCCATTAGGAAAAATTATCTATAATACTAGCACTCTATCCTTCAGCAGCAAAGATTCTCAGGAAAAGTATACCCTTTTTAAATACTTTAAAATGGATTTTAAAAGATCACTAGATAGTACTTTTTCAAGCAATGAGTATGCTTTAAAACTTCACAGCAGAATGTGAAATGGCGCTTGTGATTCTTAAGTATGTCATTACTATTCATGTTCTAGGAGGAGGTGCAGAGCCCACTGCTGTCCACAGTTACAGCCCAGGCTCAAGCAATATTTGGAAATGAAAACACCTAAGGCTTCAGGGGCCGGGGAGATAGCTCAGTAGAATGAATGTTTGCCTGGCAAGTGCAAGGGCCTGAATCAATCCCAGGTTCCATGGGGGGGGGGGCAACACCTAAGGCTAAGCCCTCACCTCTACAGCATAAGGGTACTAAATAACAAGAGTCTTCACTGGTGATTTGTCACAGAAATACAAATAACTCCAGCTCTGAGTTAACACCAACATGATCCTGTCTGGAAACTCAGTCCAAGACACCAGGCCTCTTAGGCCTTTTACCCTGCTCTCATCCCCAATTTGGGGTCTGCCTGCAGAAGCAAGGATGTTGTTAAAATCAAATCAGGGATTATAAACTCTGCAGCCTGAGCGGGAATGAAAAGGCATAAAGGCAGAGCAGACAGAGCCCTTCAGCCTCTGGGGTGGTGAAAGCCAATGAGAGCTGCGCAGGAGTCAGCAAGGGCTGCTCATCGTGGCCCTCAGATCTCAAGAGGCAATAAAGGTCTTGTGTTCCCAGTTCTGCTCATATTTTTTCTTTTCTGCTCATATTTTGAGCACCTTGAAAATCACAATTCCTGATATGAAATTCTGATTTATTTATTTTTTTGTATTTTAGGGAAGGGCCTATAGGATGTTCAGGGTCTCACTACTAGATCAGACTCATAGTGATTACAGGCATGTACCACCACGCCCAGTCTCAATTGCCATCTCAGTGCGCCCTGGGGGCAGGGCCAACACGGCAGACCCAGGGACTGAACCCCTGGCCCCTGTGCCTGCTTGCAGGTGCTTTAATCTGCTGAGCTAATTGGCTGGCCCTTGACATTCTGATTTTTATATGTCATCAGCTATATTGGGCAGACCAAAGCCTACAAATGTATGGGTGATATTCGGTCCTTGGGCCACTGAACTACATTAAATAAAATCATATGCACAATTAAACCAAGCATGATCCTTCAAGTCCATGGCAGGCTTTATTTCTCATTTTCAGTGGAAAACACTTAATATGGTCAAAATTCCTACAGGCTTCTCTGAATTCTCTACTTGCACTTCACTATTTTTTGAAAATCTTTTGTAGAAGAAGCCAGATAAGCTGCTTATTTTGACCTGTCTTCTTCTAGGACGCAACCAATCATATGTGGTTGGGTTGGTTTAAAGATCTACATTATTTAATCACACGCACACATAAACAAAAACACCACTACACACTGGTCACATTTTGATTTCACAGAGTCTTTTTAAAAACATCCTGGTTATGTCTGTCACACAGCCTGGGGCAGTCGGCCCGCTTACCTCAGTGAGACCCGCCCGAGCTCAGACAACCCCACCTGCAGACAGAGGCGGCTATTTCTATCACAGCTCTTGAGGATGCCTCAGAACAGACCTTCCCCAAAAAGATACATTCTCAATGAACACGACACTTGACTTTTACCAAACTTAAATCAAAAGATAGCACTTTACTTACTTGTAATTTCGAAAGGTCTTCTGTATAATTTTTATCAGCTAAGGGATCAGATGATATTAAAACATGAACCCAGGGATAGATTAAGCCATAGTGACTACAGGCATTTATCTAAAACATAAAAGGAATTTATTATAAACAAAACACAATAGCAACAAAACCTCACCCATTCACAAAACGTAAGCAGCTGCAATCCTCTGCCATGGCACAGAACCAGGCACATGCCGTCCTAGCGATGGGAAGTCTTTCTGATATTTTACCATGGAAAACGTTCAGCCTTGTTGGCCCAAGTAATCTGCACTAAATCTTTTCTTACAGTTCAAAATTTTAAAAATTCCAGAAAAGTACCTCCTAACAAATAGAATTATACTGCTTGTGAACTATTTACACTAGAAAGAGTTAACAGTAATACTGGAAATAGTTTTTATTTATTCTACTTCATTTGGGAGGCAAAATATCTTCCACAAATTCAGGATAATTCCCATGGCTTACAAGAAGCCAGTGACCTTTTCAGTTAACTCACACTAGGTGTGGCATCCATGAAAGGCTGGAGAGGGGCAGGGAGCAAGAGTGGCAGCGGGGGCTGTGTAATGCTACAGAGCACTGCACGTTGGTCATGCTCCTCTGCTCAGCTGACAGGAAACGGATGACGGCTGAGGCGGCCTCCCAGCCAACCAGCCTTCAGAAGTCCTTTCCCCTCAGGGAGGGTGAGAGCAGTTTCTTCTCTCATGTTGTGCTTATTGCGTCTCTGCTCAGGAAGTACCGATTTGGTGGTGTCCTTTGCACATGCTTTATCTACTGAGGTTTTATTACTGTGCATCAGTATACAGGAGAAATGCGGAACATTCTTTGAAACAAAATTACCTAAATATGGGCAATTTTTATAACAAGCTTTAAATGTACTTTTAACTTGTTAAAATAAGGTATCTAGTAACAGAAATTTAGGTTCAATTCCAGTTTATTAACAGTAAGACTGATTACTGTATCTGCAATGCGCAAGTTTAATTTAAAATACCATTCCATCATCTTACCAGATCCTCTGACGTTCTCAAGGGTACGGTATCAGGAAGTTGCCTCTTAGACAATCTCCAGATGTACTGTGATATGAGCTTATAACAGAGCTCCTGAAGTACCACATCTGGGAGACAGGCCACCAGCTGCGCTTCCCAAAAGTCTACCAAGAGCTGAGGAACACTATCTTCATCTTTACCACAGAGCACCTTGAAAACACAAACAAGGCCTCGTGTCCCAAATAAATACAGCACTGATAGAATTATAGCTAGACTGAACACTCCCATGTGGGCCACGCGAGTAACGCTAGAGTGCCACGGCAAAAGCAAATTCAGACATTTTAAGAGGAGTTTGTTGGTTGCAAGATTTCACGAACAAAGTTTCTCCAGAAAAAACTACTAGATGTAAGTCAGTTTTTTCAATAAATGAATGAAAATATTACCTATTTTTGTCTTTCCATTGATTTTTATCAAGCCACCCAGAAAAATTAATTTTAATTGATTTGATAACAAACCTTAAAGAAATAATCCGCCTCTTCAATTCCAATTTTGTTGTTCTTCTGTAAACCCAGGACTGCAGCCACAAGCAATCGGGGCTGAGTCTCTTTCAAGTGAACTGCAAGCTCTGTTGGAACAATCTGTCCCTTCCTCTGCTGAACCAGTAGCCGAGGTTCCAGAATGAAGCCACACACTAACTTCATCTTCAGATAGAAAAGAAATTTAGAAAAGTATACACTGCATTAAGATTTCTCTCCTGCATTTGGGATTCAAGGTTAAGCCATTAACAATTTAATTAAATCACATTTTTTATAAAGAGTAGTTAATGAATCCCATAAGGTATTAGGGGGCCGGGGAGATGGCTCAGTGGATAAGCACTTCCCTGGCAAGTGCAAGGGTCTGAGTTCAATTCCCAGTTCCGCAAAAAAAAAAAAAAAAAAAAGACATTAGACATCATCATGAAAGTTATTAATATTTAATAGTTGTATTAATTTAATATGACTATTACAGATATTAATATTTAAATAAACATCAAGATGCTCTATTTTTGTACATAGTCTACAAAAAAGGGGTTTTAAGGCCAGGCACAGTGGCACACTACTGTAACTCAAGGATAGCCTGAACTGCATAGCAAGGCCCCAAAAAAGAAAAAAAAAAAAAAAGGCCAGGGAGCTAGCTCAGTGCTTGCCCAACAAGCTTAAGGTCCTGAGTTGGATCCCTAGTACCACAGAAAAAAAGACAAAACACAAAGGGCGAGAGGGTTGTGCAAATTTATGGAACTTATAATGAAGAGAAAACTAATTTTTTTCTAGAACTATACTCTTCATAGCAGAAGATGCCCGATATTGACATGTTCTCTTCATTGTAATACAACACATCACTTGTAAAATAATAAAGCGCTTCACTTATTTTACAACCCGTTTTACTGTGAGCATTTGACTATATTTAGGCAACAAAAACAACAGTAGAGGACACAGGTTCTGAAAGCAAGCCACTAGGCTCCTTCTGGCTTTCCAACTTGCCAACTATGATCATGTGGTCCCAACTGCCTCATCTGCCCAACAGTCATAACAATAGCTACCTTATAGCACTGCTGTGAGAATTAAGGATAACATATGCAAGGGGCCTAGACTAGCCCTGAGGTACAATAAAAGCTCAAATAACCTAACTTCCAGTTTTCTTTCCTGAAATGATTAACATCTTTAACTCATATCCCTAAATGACTTCTTTTCAAGGATCTTTTTTCCTTTGATATTGCACTCAAATGTCCAATCTTTTGTAAAGTCACCTGTGATATCTACTTCACTATCCCTTTTCTACACGAGAATTTGCATCATTCTGCTCCCTCTTCAGTGAACGCTCCACATTCTCATGCCACATCAGATTGTTATCTCTGGGCAGAGGAAGCCTGTCTGTTCTTCTGTACCGATCACAGTGTGCGAATGTTTCACACTAAGTTGAAAGATGTTTGATGCTCCAATGTTGTCATTTATCAACCTTACTTCCTTTCCATTTTCAGATCCAAAGTCCCCTTTGGATCACTTCTCTTCTAATATTAAGCTGGCTGCCCATTACAACTAAGAAAGCAGTAGCTATAAAAAGCTTAAACTGAGCCAGGGAGATGGCTTGGTAGAATAAGCACGTCCGTGGAAAGCGCAAGAGCCTGAGTTCAATCCCCAGTTCTGCCAAAAAAAAGAAAAAGAAAAAGCCAAAACTCCTCTGGGCTCAACCTCCTCCACCCTGCTGTTGATACCAGGCAGAGCCCCATACCTCTGGGTGACTTCTCATTTCACTTCTGTGCATGTCAAGATCTCCTATCTTCAGGGCCAGCGCTGCCTTGACCAGAGTCACTAAAACCAAGGAGAAGCCACAGGCATCCAGCTTCCTTAGGTAGTTCAAGGCCGAAGAGGGATTCACAGTCCTCATAGACGGACTACACAGAATATAGGGCAATTGTTTCGGCTCAGCTACATGAAACATGCGAACCACTTTGGCTGCTAATTCCTTTGATGAACAAGAACAAAGAATAAAGTCTGTCAGCCAAAGAAAATCAAAATAAAACATACACACACAAAGATATACAAACACTGTAATCAAAGATAACATTATAGTACCATGTTTTGATTAAAACTGAGTTGATCTGGATACATAGGAGATCTGAAATGACCTGATATGATCTCTTTGCTGAATGACAATGAAGAAAAGCAGTAGACATATGCATCAGGTTGTGACCAACATTTCTAATTTTAACAAGCACTGAGAAGAAGAAAATAAGTATTTCATCAAATCATACTTTTAAAAAACAATTTAGTTCAAAATACACCCAATGAAGTAATCTACATGAGAATTCCTTTTCTCTCAAAAGCATTTGATATTATAATTTCCAACTACATTTAAAATATACGAGGGAACTAAAAATATTCCTTAATAATGCAGTAAGATGACTGGTCCAAGGTTTTCTTTTTTTATTTATTTTTTTAAACATTTATTTATTTATTGTGTGTGTGTGTGTGTGTGTGTGTGTGTGTGTGTGTCCAGCTCAGCCCACCAAGGGGCGGGGCTGGCTGGCATGTGGTGCTGGGGGATAGAACCGTGGACCCTGTGCTCTGCCAAGCTTGTTCCAAGTAGGTGCTCTAGACCACTGAGCCACCTCGCCAGCACATGGTCCAAGGTTTTCTGAGTGAAAGTTTTGGACACCTGGAGAATAAGGGCACCAGAGCCGTGGGAAAGACTGCAAATGAGAAGGCTGGCATGACCTATGCTCTACAAGTCCCACTGTGTCACTGGGCAGGCCCTCTGATCACAGAAGCCTACACGCGTATGTGTAGTGAAGGAACATGAAGATGACCCACATGTTCTACCATCATTAACGGGGCCTGGGAGACGGCTCAGTGGAATAAGTGCTTCCCTGGCAAGTGCAAAGGCCCTAGTTCTGGGGCTGGTCAGATGGCTCAGTGGTCTAAAGCACTTACTTAGAACAAGCTTAGCAAAGCACAGGGACCGCGGTTCAATCCCCCAGCACCACATGCCAGCCAGCGCCGCC